TCAGTTCGAAGAACGGGCTTCGGCGCTGACAGGGGAACCTGAGTCGCTGTGAGAGAGAGAGAGAGTCAGACAGCCTGAAAAAGTAACTGAGGTCTTCCAAGTAGATACACACAAGGCACACCTAAGTGTTCCTAAGCTGCATCAACACAAGTCCTTTATGCCGCAGGCGAGATCAAGTCTTGAGCCAACATAAGTTGGCATGTCAAGTGTCACACAAGTGATCACAGAGAAGTGTATTTTTAACACATACATACATACATACATGCTACGTTCATGCAGATACACAGTTTCGCCTGTCCAGCGTTGGTTGAAGGTTGGAGCCTGCCGCGAAGCGGTGCAGCTTGGGGCCGATGGCACGATGAGGCGAATTTTCGACATGATCCAAATGGTTTCCATTATGTTGAAGGCAAAGAGGAAGCATGCTGACAAAGATCATGTTCGGGAGAGGATCCAATGGCAGGTTTCAACCTCTCTTCCATGACCACGGAAACCAAAATGCAGTATCCACCTTTCCAGACTGACAACTCGGCTGGGTGAGGCCAGCTACAACGAGCTTCGCTGGTGGGCGCAATTCAGCGACGTTGCTCGGCTTCCCCACCTTCTTGCCACACCCTGAGGCATTCCAGTCGGAGCACTTGTTTCTTAGCAATGCATTCCTGAAGCGAACACCAATGAGCACCAGCAGCTGGACTCAGTTGAAAACAGATTCCCAAAAAAAGACAGGAACCCAAAGAGGAGAAGTCTTTGTTTTTCAAGCAGAGACCGTTTGAGACCTGGTCCTCCCTGGCGGAGCTCTTGGACTTGGCCTCAATGCCCCGCGACAGCTTTGCCAAAGTGTCCAAAGGCATGGCGGAGGCCATCCCGACCAGTAAGACATGTTCAACACTTTCATGTTCAGAAAAGAAGGAGGGACTAGGTTCTAAGAGCCCACATCTGGGAAAACATCCATTGTCCATTATTACGAACCAAAGAAGACCGGAGTTCTAACTGCTGAGAAATTCACAGGTGAAAAAGGCCTCAGATTACAAAGGCTAGGCATACCCAAGACATCGTACATGTGTGGATCTAGATTTCTGCTGTGCTCGAAGGGTTCCTTGGACGAGAAGTGTCTATCTAGTAGTTTCCATCGCTAGTCTGAAGGCTCTTAACTTGCCGGTTGTTGGCAAACATATTTTCCCGTATAAGCCCTATATATTATGTTCCCATATTCCCGACTAACCCCCAGTAAGTTAATGGCAAGGCTTCGAAGGTTGGACTGGCTGTCTTGCATTCTTGGCTGGTATCAGGTGACGAAGGAGAATTGGCGCAGGTCTGTCCTCTTTTGGGCCGCCAGGACCATAATGCAACGGACGCATGGGCTGAGTGATCGAGCATCCAGACCAGACATAGGTGAATCAGGAATGAGAGGCACAGTGACAGATTATGGCCATAAGGAATGAATAGTAAGGGTAAGACCATGCAGACAATGCATTGCATTGGGTCGAGGTTGAACATGAACACTTCTGCTTGCATCAAGACGACTTGGTGCTTTTCAAGATTGTGACCCTTTGGTATGGACCCTACGGGTTTGGCCAACAAAGAGCCAACGGCAATCTTGACAAGCGGGAACTCACTTGGCAATACCACGCAGGACCAGGTAGCGAAGTTGCTTGGTCGCAAAGCAGGCGGGCTGCCCAAGAATTCGAGCTGTCAATGAGATGTGCCGGTACGTGGGACGCATAGAACTGGCAGATCTGAAATGAAGGCAACCGAAAGCTCTTTACCCACCTCCTTGTGTTGCTGAGCAATCGTTTGAAGGAGGCCTGCAACTTACAGGGAATTCATGTGATCTTTGCTCAGGGGAGCCAGAGGCGACCAGGGGCCCGATCAAAATCAGCAAACCTTTGTAAGTGCAGTGCCTGGGATGGAGGAATTCGGAGGAAGTGACTGTTGGTCAGGGGAGCGCAGCATCTACTGAAGCAGGTGGATTTGCATTTCAGGACAGAGACATTCCAAGAAGCTCCGGCCGATCTGATGCAGAGGATGCGAGAAGGACCCTGACTCCCTTGATGTTGTCGGTTGGTCTTGGACAACGCATTTTGCCTCAAAAACTTAGAGAGAAATCTGATGCCTTGTCATATTTCATGACATTCATGAAGAGGGGCAAGACATGAGGCGCAATCGGCCCGCAATCAGCAATCCATGTCTTTGCTGGTGACGGACTGTGTGGAGTGTAAGGCTAAGGAAAGCTTTCAGAAGTTGAGGCCGATGCGGTCAACATCGCTTTGGTTGCATGATGGGCCCCGTACTATCGAAAATTCAGGGGATTCAGCGGACCCCAAGAAGGCCAGCAAGCAAGCTTCAGATGTGTCCAGGGGTGTGCGGAGCCATGCAGTTCATTGGGGCTCTGGTGCCGCAGCCGCGCGCGTCAGGGAGGGACGGCCTGAGCCAACTAGCTGGTGATCGACCTACTGTTACATGTGTAGCTTGTGAGCGCATGCATATCCAGAATCCAATCCGGCTTCACAAAATGTATACGTCTTGATTTCCATGTTGTTTATTTTTGCGGAACAGAGGTCGCTGTCCTGCCTCATGAAAACAAGGAAGACTCATGTCTTTTTGACCTGGAGCAAGCACAGCTCCTGTATTATTCCTCTTCCAATTTGAAAATGAGAAAGGGCATCACGTGTTCTTGAATGTGGCGCACACTCGATCTTTACAAGAAGAAGTGCAGAGAAAATGCTTAGTACAGAAATGTTGTGGTGAACAACATGAGAGGTAGGCCTTTGTGTTTGCAGAATACCAGGAGCTCGCACATGCTACAGGACACTAAGGAAGTGTTGTTACCTGCTCCTCTAGTTTTCAAGCATGCCCAACCAGATAGCTTCTGTTCTTTGAGCTGTTGCTTGTCTAAGTATTTTTGAACGGCTGAAGGAGCTGGAACCGGATGAGCTGTTGACATGGACAGTTTTGGCACCGGCTTGCAGATGCGAATAGTTGTCAGTAATAGTTTTTTGTCTTCTGTTGCTGCCATTTCCGGCATTTTTATCAGACTTTGCGGTCACCCTGCTGCTTGAAGATGGCATGCTCTCTTCTCACCAGGCAATAGGCTATGCAGGCCAACCTGGAACGGGAGAAAAGCGGGCAAGCTGGCGTATCAGAGCATACAGGGCCATGGCTACACAAGGAGCCGAAGAAGTGTGATGTGAGTTCTGCCAGACATTGACCGGGCCTGGCCCGGCCTCACTCGTAAACGAAACTTGAGCGGTCGCGCGGTCGCAAGTCAAGATGCGGGTCCCAGACCGTTGGCCGCCGAGCCCCAAAGTCAAACCTTGCGGGCCGCAGCGTTTTGCACTTTTGAGGACTCATCTTTCCAACATTTCTGGAGTGATTCGCTTGAAGGACCTTCTAATCAAAGTCGCCAAGAAGGAGCCGCACTCAGCTTGCGCGGCAGGCAGGCTTCGATGAATAATCTACTGGAGTACTGAGGCTTCAGTACGAGCAGTTGTCAAAGTCATGGTCCTTTCCTGGAGGTTTTTGATGGCACAAAGTTTAAGATTAGGATCAGCTTCTTTGGGAAGTCTAGGTGGGATGCTGCGCGCCTTTTCCAGTGCATTCGTCTTGGTGATAGCCTGGGCATCCCTACAGAAGCCCCAGAAGCCCCAGAAGCTTCAGAAGCTCCGGATTCCAGCGGTAGCGACATTCTTGCAAGATGATGTGCCGTTCGGAGATCTGCAGTCTGGTTCGATTCGGCAGGGCCAGCGGCTTGGCTTTGCAGTGAACCCGGACAGCCTTACGCAGGTTGACGTGATGCTTGAGCCCATTTCTTCCAACGTCACGCTGAAAAGCGATGGCATGGAGGTTGTGAACCTTGCCGACTTTCTGAAGGAGAACGGGGTGCATCCTGAGAATGCTGCCGTTGACAGTCATGAGATTCGGATGGCTGTAGGCAGAGCCATGCTCAGCTTCCTTGAGCAGCGTTTCGGTAGAGAAGTCATCCACCTCGTTGACACGTCGCGTGTTTCTGGCGGGGCTATCTATGGAGAAGCCACTGTCCGCGACACTGGGAGTGAGAAGTTACGCAATGCGCACCATGTGATTCACGTGGACAAAGAGTGGACTGGCATCTCACGGCTAACCGGAGAAAACGGCACGAAGGGAGGAGTCCGAGCAACGGTCCACGCCCAGTGGCCTTTGGCAGAAAAAGATTTCACCGACCGCGGCTACGGTTTTGAGGACTATGTGAGGATGGTGTATGCACAGGATCCAGGCATGCTGAACCTGTGGGTCTCACTGACCCCTGGGGAACTAAAGCAACATCCCATGGGCTTCCTGTTGAACAGTGCCAAGGGACAGAGTGCTTTCTCCTCTGCTCAGGACCTGAATGATGTAGCATCCACAATGCACTCCCAGATCAAGACCTTCAATGATACCATTACCGTTTTGCGGGAGGGCATCACATCAAAGGAGACGGCTCGGTGGGGCATGGTGCCAAAGATGACCTTTGGGCAGGCGCTCTTGTTCTATGCAGACCGAACTCCCCACGGTGCAGTGTGGCTGAAAGAGGAGCCTGCCTCCCAGCGAATCTCTGCAGAGATCCGTGTGCTTGTGACAGATCGGACTACCGCTCCCCGGGATGACTTGAGAATGATTCTGGAGTAGGCACGTGCTTAGAACGCTTGGTGCTAGGATCTGCGCCGCGTGCCGGATCTGTTTTGCTTTTCTTTTACGTATTTACTTGCGGCCTACTTCACAGTGAAGTTTGGGCCTTGCAAGCAGCCAGCTTGGAATTTATCAACTCTGATTGGAGCTGTGGTGTCTCATCACCGCGGCGTGGTTCAGCTGAGCTGAAACAAACTGCCCCTTGCTAGTAGCTCGACGGTTGACTTCCCTGCGTGAGGCTTCTGCATCCCCTGACAAAATCTACCTCAGCATAGTATTCCCATAAGAGAACTGCTTGCACGGCAGCGCTTGCGTGTGGGAAGTTCAGCCAGGCCTGAACTTGCCGTATGGCAGGTTTTTTCCCAGGCAAACCCTACTGCTCCTATTCTGGGTGAAAAAGACGCGGTTTGTTGCTGCAGCCTAAGTTACCGTACATGAAAGATCAGTCTCCTTGACAGTTCTCTCAACAGCCTGATTTTTCGCAAGGTGTTGATGATTCTGCCAGGCCCCGAAGTCACAGATGCTTCGACCTGTTCTGTCGTCGTTTCTGTTGCTGTGGCGGCACCTGGCAGGTGACTCGGTTCTAGGAATCACCAGCAACAAG